TTAGCTTGCTATGATTTCTTACCAGGCAAAGGAACTAACGATCAGTTGGAAAAGCCAGAATTTCGTTTCCAGGTTTGGGGTCGAGTCCATCCCAGCTAAACATCTGCCAAGAGTTGATTCCGAAGCGTGCATTAGGATTGCGGGATTGCAACTCTGTGTAAAAAGAGGGGTGGTATATTTATTTGTCAGTGTGTTGCCATCTCTTGCAGGACACGACTTGCTAGTCGGAGTCTGGATTTTCACTGTCGTCATCTCCTCCTCCTCCTCCTTGTAAATTCCACTCCCTTATAGCACTGATGATACTACTTATCTGGGTAATGGAAAGTCTGCAAGAAAATCACTAGGCTCAGAGAGCACCAAGGAGCTCACAGATGTTGTCCTCCTCCTCCTCCTCTTCCTCCTCCTCCCCCCCCCCACTCCCTTCTAGCACTGATGATGTTATCTAGTTGGGTCCTGAAACACCAAGCTCAGAGACCACCAAGAAGCCTTCATCTCGACCCTGTGCTACAAATGTTCTCCGTTATTGTTTGCTAACCAAAAGGTTGTAAGTCAAGGATTAGCTGTAGATACCTTTGGAAGGCAGGGTGGAAAAAGGCAGCACTGTTGGTTGAACTTGGTTTCATTGCATCCAGACGTCCCTTGCAGTGCAGGCCTGGGATAGCTCTGGAGAACGTTTGCAAAGCAGATTGACCATCCCCGATTTCCTGGAAATACCAGAATTGAATGGAGGGCTAAGCTCCAAATTTCCACAGCAGTATGTGTGTGTGTGTGTGTGAGTGTGTGTGTGCGTAACACAACATTTCCTCTCTGAAGTCTTCCACCTACAGAGGAATGTCAGGAGCCAAAGGCTCTAGCAGGAAAGTACAGATAGTCTGTATGATGTACGGTCACATTTGAGCTCTAAATTTATGTCGCTAAGTGGGCATTGGTGATGTGAGTTTTGCTCCGTTTTGCAACCTTCCTTCCCACAATTGTTAAGGTGAGACACTGCCGTTAGTCACACGGCTGTTCCAGAGGTGATATTCAGCTGGTTCTGACTGGTTCTGGAGAACCAGTAGTAGAAATTTTGAGTAATTCAGAAAACCGGCATATCCCACCTCTGACTGGCCCCGCCAACCCCATCTCTTCTCGGCCTCCTGAGTCCCAGCTGATCGGCAGGTCTTCTTTGGTTGCCCTGCACACAGAACTGGGATCTGACCGGCATAACAACAGGTTCAGGGAGTGGCGCATGCATGTCCAACATGCACTGCACACACATGGGTGCTACCGGCTCCGGTAAGCATTTACCTTCTCCAGCTGACGAGTGGCACTTCAGCTGTGCCGCGCAAAACAGCTGAGGAGGAAAATGCAGCCACCAAAGGACAGCCTAGAGCCCGGGCAGGCGGGTGGGCCAAACAGCAGACCAAAACCTCATCCCAGCGAACCGATTCGGTGTCAGCTGCTCTTTGGAGCTACCGGTTCTATAGAACCAGACCGAACCAGTTGGATCCCACCCCTGCCTGTCCAGGAGAACAGAGCTGGAAAGCAGGTTAGCGGGACGGGGAGGGAGTGGGGATTTTGCAATATCCTTCCCCTGCCATGCCCACCAAGCCACACCCACAGAACTGGTAGTAAACATTTTTGAATCCCACCACTGGGTTGTTTAGTCAATCTGGCTTCCCCCTCTGGATTTTGGTTGTCAGAAGGTTGCCCCGGGGCACCGGGACCGTTATAAGTGCGAGTCAGTTGTCGAGCCTCTGAATGTAAATCCCGCAACTGCAGGGAGGCTGCAACGGCTGTCGGTGTGAAAAATAGTCATCAGTCACTTTTGTTGTAACTTCAAATGGTCAGTAAGAGAACTGTAGTAAGTTGAGGGCTACCTGTAGAAAAGTGACAAGGATGAGTTGTCCCGGGAAGATGTTCTACAAGTGGCATTTTGCACCGGCAAGGTTGGCAAGGATGTTTAAAGATAAACTAGCTAAATGTTGGAAATGTATTGTGGTTCGCCGGCAGCAGGTGCAAACGGCTGAAGTCTCGGAGACCGAGGACTCAGATGAGGGGCCAGGACCCTTAGGGAGTGGAGTGCTGCCTTCAGAGACTGTGGAGGCTGGCAGCAGTGATGAAGAGGACCCCGAGGAGCCTGTGCCAAGTGCTCATGTGCGCAGGGCTGCTCAAAGAAAAGAGCAGCTGTAGCAGCACAGGTGACTCGGGAGTAAGGCTACAAGGTAATGGCCTCTCCCTGAAGAGATAAAAGCCAGCTGAGAAACCGGAGTTCTTTGCAGGAAGCAAAGAATTCTAGCACTTCAAGTCTTATGGAAGTTCGGACCATCTTGGTTTGTGTTTGAAGACATTTTGTTTGGAATAATTCTTGGCAACTTAATCTAGTGCTTTTGGCAGCCTTGCACAACCTTGGCAAGGCTTGTTCTTATCAGAGACAATTAGTTTTAATAGCCTTTTAACTATGAATTAACGGAATTCGCAGAGAAGCATTAAAAGGTTTTGCTTTTATCTCTGTTAAGTGTTTGTTTACTTGGAACAAGGTTTGGGTCAGAACGAAATGCCACCAGATACCTGGGTCATATTATCATATTATGTGGTGGACATGTGCAGAAACCAGACAGTATTGGACAAAAGTACACACATGGTTGGAAAGGAGGATGCCGTAGCGTATTGATTTAAAACCTGAAATAATTTTTCTTGGGGATCCTACCTGAAAATGATAGTAAAGAGAATGTATATTTAATTATTGATGTATTAACTGCAGTTACGATTTGTATTTGCACAAAACTGGAAAAGGGAAAAGATTCCAACTGATGAGAATGCGATCAGGAAAATATTAGAATGTGCAGGAATGAACAAGCTAATGCCGGCAATTAAAGGGAAGGAACAAACTGAATGCTGTTTGATATGGGAATCTTTTTATCGATGGCTCGAGAATAAATATGGGAGAAATTAAAAAAAGATTAGTGAAATATAGAAAACATGCCAATAGAATCAAATACGTTAAGATAGGGATTGTTCTAATAATTAAACGTATTATGTATATCAGTATTAAGTAAAAATAGAGAATCGATACCAGTACAATGAATATGTGTGAACTGTATTTGTTACTGCACAAGATATTTGTATCCAGGCAACACACTGTTTGAATGGAAGATGGATTGCTTGCTTTAAAATAAAATAAAAAAAAATTTAAAGGATGAGTTTTGTCCCAGATGGAGAGACTGGGAGAGAACTGGTGGTAGAACGTGGCGGTTCATCCACGTTGCCTTTTTCAGCTCGGCTCGCCAAATGAGTTTTGTGGGTCTTTGTGTGAGTGTGTGCTTGGAAGCTCTCGGCCTTCCTCGTCTCCTCTTCGGTGCCGCCTGCCAGATCTCTACTGCGAGGTGTCCAGATGTTTCCTCTTTTGTGTGGCTCCTCGGAGGAGCGATTCATGGGAACGGAGGCTGTGACTCAGCCCTGGGACACGCATGTCTGGAAGGCGAGGAGGGTTCATCTCCAGGAAGAGCTGAGTCAACGTTCCCGGGTTCTGATTCAGTGGCCTGTTACAAGTCAAGCACCTGGGATTCTGCAGAACTGGAGAGGGACGACAACAGCCGAAAAAGGACAGTTGTCACAGCACAACGCGAGGGTTTCTCGCGATGGGGTCTCCTCTACGTCACAGGGAGTCCCTCGTTCACACCTCTGAGATTTCTTTCCTCCCTTGCAGTCTTGCAAACCCAAGACAGTTTCCTGTTTAAGGAGCTGGAGGAAGAAATGGGGGTGGGGAAGTGGGAGGGAAACAGGCTGACAGCTCCAGAGACTTTGCTTCGGTTTAATGGATGTTTTGGGGTGTGTTTTTTTTTAAATTAAAAAATAATAATTTTGTGACTTGCATAGTATTTGATCAAGTCTTTCAGGGTTGAATGAGGAAGTGCAGGGAAGAGAAACTTAGATTTATTTTTCTTTTCTTCCATCACAGTCCTTCCTTCCTTCCTTCCTTCCTTCCTTCCTTCCTTCCTTCCTTCCTTCCTTCCTTCCTTCTTCCTATTGGTCATTCACCCTTCCTTTCTTCCTCCTATCCATCACCTTTCCTTCCCTCTCTCCATCCCTTTCTTCCTCCTATTGATCATTCACCCTTTCTTTCTTCCTTCCTTCCTTCCTTCCTTCCTTCCTTCCTTCCTCCTATCATCTCCCTTTTTCCCTCCCTCCCTCCCTTCCCCCTATTGATCATTCACCCTTCCTTCATTCCTCCTATCCATCACCCTTCCTTCCTCCTTTCTTTCTTTCCTTCCTTCATTCCTCCTATCCATCACCCTTTTTCCCTCCCTTCCTTTCTCCTATTGATCATTCACCCTTCCTTCCTCCTACCCATCACCCTTCCTTCTTCCTCCTTTCTTTCTTTCTTTCCTTCCTTCCTCCTATCCATCACCCTTTCCCTCCCTCCCTCCCTCCTATTGATCATTCACCCTTCCTTCCTTCCTCCTATCCATCACCCTTCCTTCCTCCTTTCTTTTTTTCCTTCCTTCCTCCTATCCATCACCCTTTTCCCTCCCTTCCTTCCTCCCTCCCTCCCTTCCTTCCTATTGATAATTCACCCTTCCTTCCTTCCTTCTCTTCATCCTATCCATCACCCTTCCTTCCTTCTTTCCTTCTTTCTTTTTTTCCTTCCTTCCTCCTATCCATCACCCTTTCCCCCTTCCCTCCCTTCCTCTCTTTCATTTAGCAGTAACTTGTCCTGTTCATCTATCAACTGCTTCCTGTAACAGCTGCAGGTAGACTTCTCTTGGCCAGGAAGCTCAAAAGGAAGAAGAATCCGCTCCCAAGCTTCCTCTTAGGGCTCTCGTTAGAGGCCAAGATTGGTAAATGGGTTTCTGGGATAGGTGCACCACCAGGTATTCCTCCATGCCACATAATGGTCCAAATTTTCACACCAGCTCAACCGCCACGATGGGAAGACCACGAGACAAGTCAAAGCGCTTCGGCGTCCCTTGTCTGCTGAATCAAAAGACTCATCAAGAAACGTCTTTTATTTCTCGTAGGAGGTGAAGATATTCCGAGCTCTGATCCTTGGGGAACTGGAAAGGGGACAGAGCCAATTCCAAGCTCTTTGCTTCGTCACCCGGTTGCATCGCAACGAAATCATTCCCAGCGAATCCATGGCCAAATTACGACAGGTAAGCCGGAAGAAGGTTGATCAGTGTCACAACCTTACAGTTGTGGTCACCACACTATAAAAAGGAGGTTGAGGCTCTAGAAAAAGTGCAGAAAAGAGCAACCAGGATGATGAAAGGACTGGAGGCTGAAACATACGATGAACGGTTGCTGGAACTGGGCCTGGCTAGTCTAGGGAAGAGAAGGACCAGGGGAGACAGGATAGTGGCTTTCTAATAATGGCTGCCCTAGAGAGAAGGGGGTCAAGCTATTTTCCAAGGCACTTGAATGCAAGGAACAATGGATGGAAATTGATCAGGGAAAGATTCAACCTAGAAATAAGATTTTTGTTTGACAGTGAGAACGATCAACCGATGGAACAGAAGTTGCCTTCAGAAGTTGTGGTGCTTGATCACTGGAGGCTTTCAAGAAGAGATTGGATTACCATCTGTCAGAAATGGTGTAGGGTCTCCTGCTTGGGCAGGGGGTTGGACTAGATGACCTACAAGGTCCAACTCTGATTGTCTGTTATCTGTTACAACTAGGGTGAGATTAATTTTTCAACCCGCAGTCAGCGTTCCTTGTTATTCTTTGGATTTCTTAGTCAGGTTTCCGCCGGAGCAAAGACATGCCGAGCTGTCTCAGGGCCTGACTGTGTGTCATCATTTCCCTTTTATTTTATGACAAATCAGCCTGGTTATTAATATTTGTAATGAGTAATGAGTAAGAATAGGGCGCCCCTGGTGGATCCCAGGGGAAACATTTGACTGACACTCTTTCTTTCGAGAAAAACATTTATGCTGACGTTGGATGTTCCTTTTGCTATTCTTGTAATATTTAAAATGCATCTTCTGCTTCCAAAGGGAACAAATCTTTTCCGAGGTTGTCGCATTCCATGCGAAGCTGCCTGGAATTACTTAAGTCATCTTGCAAAGTTGCCCCATTCTACAGTCGGTGCAGGAAAAACTGCATTCTGGAAAGAGCCTCTGTAAACAGAGCCACTCTAGGAAGAGGGCATCTTATGGGTCATTTGAAAGTATTTTAGCCCTCTCACACTTTTGTTCAAATGGACATCCACCTCCATTCATCTTTATATGGTTTGGCCATTCTTTCCCCCTGGTTTTTCTATTTGTGAGTCCTGCAAAACGGATGGCGAAATGAAGGAATGGGTCCAAAATTCCTCTAGTCAAGATAAGATCCCCAATCGCTCGTCATCCGGTGACAGGAAGAAAATAAAGTTAATTATCTGATTGAAGAGAATACTTGTAGCTCAAATTTGGACTGTGGGGGTCCTCGGTGAAACTCTGGGCTTGCTGTTTTTCTGAAGACGTTTCATTACCCAGCTAGGTAACATCATCAGTGCTAGAAGAGAGTGGGGTTGAGGAGGAGGAGGAGGAGGAGGAAAGGAGGAGGAGGAGGAGGAGGAGGAGGAGGAGATGATGATGATAGTGGGATCTTTGTGGCTCTCTAAACTTGGTGCTTTCCTTGCAGACATTTCATTACCCAACTAGGTAACGTCATCCGTGCTAGAAGGGAACGCTGCAGAGACAAACACCACACCCTTCTAACACTGATGATGTTACGTAGTTGGGTAACGAAACATCTGCAAGAAAATAGTCAAGCTCAGAGAGCACCAAGGACCCCACCGTCCTCCTCCTTCACCCTCTTCCTTTTCCTTCCTCCTCCTCCCCCATTCCACAAACCCCACTCCCTCTAGCGCTGATGACATTACCTAGTTGGGTCATGAAACACCTGCAAGAAAACAGTCAACCTCAGAGAGCACCAAGGGCCCCACATCTATCTAGGTCAGAGCTACGGATGACTCAAAGCAGCCATTGCGTTTAAAATCGATATCAGGCATGGAAGCGCTGATGTTCCTCCGTTTTTTCCCCCCTGCCAGAAAAACCCACAGACGGTGCGGCAGGCAGAGGAGATCCGCGCACTCGAACACTTGAGCATGGATGTGACTGTCAATTTCAGCAAAGGGGCCCAGCTTAGCTCTCACATCTACAACATCTGTTCAGAGGCCAAGGAGACCATCTACAGTCGAGAAGAAGATGTGAAGTTCTGGATGGAGAAAGGTAAGGAAGCACTTCAATCATCAGCAGACGGAGTTTATGGTCCCTCCACCCCGTAATGCCTCCCGTGTGGGGATAATGCCAGCTGACCCTCAAATATTTGCTTCAAAGGGGGAAAATATTTGATTGTCTGCTATATTTTCGCTGGCTGTAAAATAGACCTTTCGTTTAATGTCTGTGGAAATTCTCCATCATTCAGGTCACGGTTTTCCCATCAGCTCTAGCTAGATGGTGGGGAATGGAAGGATTTATACTCCTTGCAGACAGCTGGTCATTTGCATCCTTTTAGAGGGTCGTTGAGGCCACCTAGCTAAGTGCCTATGGAGATGGTCAGCCATCCAGATCATAGTTGTCCCAAAGGTGTTTTGTTTTTTTTCAAGAGCCAACTTGGACTTTCTTGGGTTTTTTTTTTTTTGAAGACGTTTCACTTCTCATCCAAGAAGCTTCTTCCGCTCTGACTTTCCCTTCCCCACCCTCCTGTCAGAGCTGGAGAAACTTCTTGGATGAGAAGTGAAACGTCTTCAAAGAAAAAGCAGAAAGTCCAGTTGAAAAGGCACCTTTGGAAAGACCGTTCTGAACGTTTTGCTAGCAGAAAGAGATTTTGCATCCGTTAGAGGCTGGACCACTCCAGAACGTTATGGCTGGTCCATTTTGAGGATGGAACAGCCTAATTTTGGAGTGAGTCATTCTGCCGTTCAGACATTTTGCCCACAGATAGTAGTGAGAGAAGTCTGTCAAAGGCGCTTCGCAACTTCTGCAGGACAAGGACAGAGTTATTAATGAGAAACGGAAGACTTCTGGTACAAGACGACAAAGGAGGAAGGACTTAACAAGGGGAATTGACCTTTTTTCTCTCTCTCTCTCTTCTGTCCATCTCTCCTGCAGGGGTGGACGGCTCCATGTTTGAGGTCCTGCCTCAGTCTGCAGACCTACCTGATCTGCAACACTGCCGGGCCTGCGCAGATCGCTGGAAACCTTGCATCTGCAGCTACGCCTTGAACATCGAATGGTATCCCTGCATGCTGAAGTATTGCAAGAGCCGAGATTCGGCTGGAAAGACAACCTCTTACAAGTGTGGCATCCGCAGCTGCCAGAAGGCCTACAGTTTTGATTACTACGTGCCCCAGAAGCAGCTCTGCCTTTGGGATGAAGACACTTAGCAGGACAGACGAGCAGCCATCTTGTTTTGGGGGCTGGGAGAACTTCACCTCGACTTTCCTTCCTGGAGCTCTGGACAGGACTACCAAGGTGGCCACTTGGGACTGAAAGGAGGGAGGGGAAGGGCATGGAGGGAGGGAAGGAGGGAGAACCCCCATGAGATGCCTCCTAAGAAGGTTTTGGAAGGAGTCTCTTCCTCTTCGCCTATAGAAGGAGGCACCTTCAGATTTACAGGCAGAGACCACAATCAATGGGATGTTATCGAAAGAAAGATGAGGAACATCAAAATGAAGACGGTTGTCCATCTCGACTTGACTTTTGAAGCTTCTTGACCACCATGAGATTTGTGCCTGCTTCTTTTTTTTTCCATAATGAAGACAGAGAGGATAGATGTCCTTCTTGGACAATCTCCTAGAAAGGATTAGACACCAGGTCGGTAGCAGAAGGGATAGAAGATCTTCTGGACAAAGCTCGTGAGCTTCCAGAATGTTCTGCGGTTGATACCTGGAGCCCCCAGAAAGAGGAAACTTAAAGCCATGAGGACGTCGGAATCTAGAAGGGCTGATATCCTACATCATTTTATGCAAGACGGAGAGATTATTTGAGAAGGCTGTAGGAGAGCTGGTCTCTTACAACCAATTGTCAGTTACCGCTGTGCCATGTTCTCCCAGTGACCAATTTCCTAGGGATAATGCCATCCCTGGACAACTTTGACGATGGCAGTTTGCCAAAATGCCTCTAATATATATGCTGCATAATCATTCTGGGTGGATCACCCAGCCCACCTCTGGATCTCAATTGGCTCTTTAACACTGGAGGAGGTGGGAGTAGAGATCTCTGGCCTCTTAACGGTGCCAATTCCTTTTTTTTTTTCCCTTATCGCTCCGCCTTAATAAGAGATTGTACCCACCTCGCTTCCAGGGACCGAAGATTGCAGACAATCAGATCCATTTAAAGAGGGATCCCTAAGCCCTTCCTGGCTGGGACGTCCCAGTAGCTTCCTTTTCTCCTGATTAGAAAGTCAAATGCTTGTTTTACTCTCTAATCTGTTTCTGTACCTCCTTCTCCCACAAAATTGTGACTGGACAGAGCAATGCAGTGTGTGTGTATGAGAGAGAGAGAGAGAGAGAGGGAGGGAGGGAGGGAGAGAGAGAGAGAGAGAGAGAGAGAGAGAGAGAGAGAATAATATTAAACTAAGGGGAGCCACAATATGTCGAAATATTAACGCCCCAAATATTGCAGAAAAAGTAGCAGAATGTTTGGGTTACAGAAATGGACAAGATATCCAGATACACAGTGGTAAAGCAGAAGTGTGATGTTGTGTACAGTCAGTTCGCACCTGGCTCTTTGTCTCTCAGCCTCCTTTGAAGACCCATAGAAGGAGCCATGGTACAGATGCTCGCCAAACCCACCGTAGCGGCAACGCTAAGGGCCTGGTGCAGGTTTTTTTTTCCTGCCCTCCCAACCAACTCCATGCCACCATTGGTGCTATCGTTGCATAAAAATGGTGGCAAACCAGGACACCAGGATTGTGTGTTTCTACAACGCAATAAACTAGGCCCGAGTCTTTTGTGAGTCCTTGTCTTGTGGGATCACCACCAAGCATGAAGTTCATATTGGGGTTCAGACTTTGCATTGGGGGGTGGGGGATTTTGCTGACTTGGGCTTAGGGTATTGTAGAGCCCATCAGTTGAGTTGGTTAATTCCATAATTGTGGTGCAAAGAAAGACAACAAAATGTGACAAAAAGTTGTTGCTTTCCAGAGAACAGTCACTGGTTCCCACACACTTTTGGACGTGCAGGAATTCAAGAACAGGCCGTTCTTATCACCCTATGTTTGCAGTGATGCAGAGAACATTCCCTGTTGGATTTCTGCCTGCCTTGCAGTGGCTTCTTTTCTTTTTTCTTTTTTGTTTAAAAAAAGGGGGGATTTATTCCGAATCCACTGTAGATCTGTTATGCTTACTGAGCTTCCTTCCATTTCTGCAAGCTACCTTCCCTCTGTAATCTGGGCATTTTGGACTGCTGACCTTCACGCCTTAAGAATCCTCTTTTAAAAGATAACATTTATCTGTCTATTTCCTAGAATTGTGTGGGTGTGAGAGAGAGTGAGCTGTGCAGTTGCGATTTGTGTTTTTGATTGGAGTTCCTTGGGCGCTCTTAAAAAAATAATGACCACAGGAAATGAAATAAATGTAAACGTGAATGAAAGGTGTGCTGTTTTTTTGCCCAAACGAATTATTTATGATATGTAAGCTGAATAAACTGATTTTCCAAAAAAAAAAAAAAATCTCGTAAGAAGTTTATGGGTTTGGACAAAAGAATTGTATAAACATCGCCCAGAGCTCTGAAATCAGAACACTGAGAGCTAGCTCCTTGCCAACTTCTTTCCTCCTTACTAGTTTATATTCAAATTGGGGAAAGAATATTAGCTTTCGGTTTTTTCTTTCCAAAGCAGGAATTCAGTTAGAAAAGAACAAAGGGTTGATTTATTAATAAAAGTGCCTACATTACAGTGTGTCTCAATCTTGGCTTCTCCAATTGGACTTCAACTGCCAGCCATTTTGGGAATTGTGGACTTCGATTCCCAGAATAGCTGGCTGGGGAATTCTGGGAATTGAAGTCCACAGGTCTTAAAGTGGCCAAGGTTGAGAAACACTGATTTAAAGGTTGCTCATTAAGGTTGCTTTCATTGCACCATCTACTCCACCCATAGCTCTTAATTAATTGACTGGGGGAATCTGAGATGGCCCAAAATTATGAAATGTCACTCATATCCTCCTTCACTTCCACCAATAAAGCAAAGTCAAAATCACTGCCAAGAAGTCAATGGAGATTCTCAGTCCTCCAGATCAGGGGTCTCCAACCTTGGCAACTTTTAAGACTTGTGGACTTCAACTCCCAGAATTCCTCAGCTGGCTTGTACCTGTGTGATAGAAACACGAGTATCTTTTGTACAAGGGAGAAAAAAAATTACCCAATTTCTTTCAAGGCCTGTTTGAATGCACCTTTCGATCTTGCTGGTGTCCGTTGAATATATAGAATATACGAAGATACAGATTAACAGAGCTGGAAGGGACCTTGTAGGTCATCTAGTCCAACACCCCACCCAAGCAGGAGACGCTACACTATTTCTGACAGACGACAGTCCAATCTCTTCTTGAAAGTCTCAAGTGATGACACTCTCACAACTTCCAAAGGCAACTTCTGTTCCATTGGTTGATTGTCCTCACTGTCAGGAAATCTCTCCATAGATTAAAATCTCTCTTCTAGGTTGAATCAATCAGAATAAAGCTGGAAGGGACCTTGTAGGTCATCTAGCCCGACTCCTACCCAAACAGGATACCCCACACCATTCCTGACAGATGACAGTCCAATCTCTTCTTGAAAGTCTCAAGTGATGAAGCTCCCACAACTTCTGAATAACAGAATAATAGCAGAATAACAGAGTTGGAAAAGACCTTGTAGGTCATCTAGTCCAACCTCCCCACCCAAGCAGGAGACCCTACACCATTTCTGACAGATGAGTCCAGTCTCTTCTTGAAAGTCTCAAGTGATGAAGCTCCCACAACTTCCGAGGGCAACTTCTGTTCCATTGGTGGATTGTTCTCACTGTCAGAAAATTTCTCCTTATTTCCAGGTTGAATCTCTCCTTGATCAGTTTCCATCCATTATTCCTTGTCTGGCCTTCGGGTGCTTTGGAGAATAGCTTGACCCCCTTCCTCCTCCCTGTGGCAGCCCCTCAAATATTGGAAGACTTGCTATCCTGTTTCTCCTGGTCCTTCTCTTCCCTAGACTAGCCAGGCCTAGTTCCTGCAGCTGTTCATCGTATATTTTAACCTCGAGCCCCCACATCATTTCGGTGATTAGATGATAGGTGATAGATTAGATAGATTAGATGATAGGTGATAAGATACCCTACTGTCATAAATTAATTGCTCCTATAGAAGAAAGGGAGAAGGAATATATCTCATCTTCTTTTTTTCACAAGAGTTTCTTTACGATGGAGACTGGTCGAAATGGAGTACTGTGGTACCAGAGGCAGCTGACACTAATCTAAAAAAAAAAAATTAAAAAAAGGACCACCGTGCAATCGCTCTCTACAATGCCATGCAAATTAAGATGTAGCTCTAATTGGTTGCAGCCGGGGAAACTGATTGATAAGGGCAGCATTCTGTGTGTCGGTAAGGTCAAATATGGGGTGAATTCTTTGGGGTAATGAGATGGAACTCAAGAAAAAACTGTCCACTGAGAGAACAAAGGGGGTATTCTATGAACATGGTTGGTTCTTAATTATGGGGTTTATCTTAAACGGGTCTTGATTCCCAGTGGCGAGGGTCCCCCCCTTGTATTTTCTCCTGGTTTCACCAAGTTTTTTTTTTTTACCCCTCTTGGCTTTCTCAATGTTTTATGACTGACTGAGTTTATTGTTCCTTTGGTCCCTGGGAAGGTAATTAGAAGAAGGAAGCCTTTTTTTTTTTTTTTTTTTTGCTTTATGATGATAATAATTTATCAAATTGTATACTGCCTGACTCTCCAGAGTTCTGGGTGACTCATGACAATGAAAGAAACAACAGTAAAATAAGAGTTTAGTTCACTTGCTCATTCTTGATCCCGTGACACCACAAATAAATTCATCTTAAAGCAGGCTGAATGCGAATCCAGCGAAGTCTTCAGCTTCCGGTGCTTAAAGATTCTCAGAGGAATTACCTAACATGTCATGAAAATCACCAAGGGACAAAAAACTGTCTAGGGGTGATGTGACATCATAGCGGTGTTTCAATAGTGAAGGGGCTGCGGGGATAAACCTATTTTTCAAAGCATCGAAAGGCAGGACAAGAAGCAATGAATGGAAACTAATCAAGGAGAGAAGCAATCTAGCATTAAGGAGAAATTTCCTGACTGTCCGAACAATTAATCAGTGGAACAGAAGTTGCCTCCGGAAATTGTAAACGCTCCGACACTGGAAGTTTTTAAGAAGAGATTGGACAACCATTTGTCTGAAGTGGTATGGGGCTTCCTGGTTGAGCAAGGGCTTGGACTAGATGACCTCCCAGGTCCCTTCCAACTCTGTTATCCTTTTACAATTCTTCAAATGATTAAAAAGGGAGTCTGGAGATATTGACCTGGCGCGATTCTTCAAAAGACCACGAGAGGACACTCTAAATCCGTCCTATGCTAAGGAAGTCCTAGACGCCAACGGAGAACAAGGGAAAGTTGCATGGAAAAAAAAAAATCTACATATTCAGATTTCCCATCTTTTTCTTACTAAGAGGGGGATTAAAGGCGATAGTTACGCAGTGGATTGCATTCCTGCAAAAACACATCCGGTTTTGAAAGAAGCAACGGATGGAAGCTAATCAAGAAGAGAAGCAACCTAGAACTAAGGAGAAATTTCTTGACAGTTAGAACAATTTATCAGTGGAACAGAAGTTGCCTCCAGAAATTGTGAATGCTCCAACACTGGAAGTTTTTAAGAAGAGATTGGACAACCGTTTGTCTGAAGTGGTATAGGATTTTCTGCTTGAGAGGGGGTTGGACTAGAAGACCTCCAAGGCCCCTTCTTAACTCTGTTATTCTGTTAAAAGGCTTAAGGAGGTTTTCGCCTCTAAAGTTTGCATATTCTCACAATGGACCTTCAGCTGAAACTCTCAAACACAAAAGGCAGAATTGATTCCCCCAGTCCCCCCCCCCCCAAATATCCTAAACTCCCTATGACTTTAGAGGAAATAAATTTTGAAATCTCCAATTTCAGAAATGAAGGTCCCTGGCAATTTGCATAAAGCTCACCCAAATTGATGGCTTTGCATAATTTGAATATAGTTTAAGCAGCTCCCTCTGTGCCCGTAATCCTTTGATCCACAGCAACTTTTCAGAATATGTCAGTTGTGGACAGTCTCTAAGAGAAGCAAAGGGGATGGAGGGGGGGGGGGAATGTTTTGCCTCGGTTTCCCCAATGGGCAAGGGCAGGTAATCAGCTTTAAGCAGAGGTGGCACTTTTCAGAAATCCATTTAAAAATTCAGAGGAGAAAGGCAGCCGAGGTAGCTCAGGACGAGGAGTGGGAGATACACCAAGGACTTCTCCAAACATGAATGAAAGCAAAGTATATACACCACTGAATTTC